AATTTTTAGAAATTAGATTACTTAGACATAAGTAATGAACACTGATTAAATAATTTTATCAAATTACTTTTAAAAAACATTGTATTGATTTATATTTTTAATCAGCAGTTTATTAAAAGTAATAATACAACAAAAATAGAAAAATAATAGAAATAATATTATAGCATTAGCAAGAAATATTTCATTAAGTACTGTTATATACTAGGCATTAAACCCAGGGTTATCTTTGCCAAGGAGTAAATTATACATATGTTTGCTTTCCATCCATATATATACTCCTTGTTTCATAAGGGAATATTGAAATAGACATTAATAAAATGGGCCAAGAGTCTTAAATATACAGAATAAATCATATACACTGCAACTTATTGTATATGCTTTTGTTTTTCTTTTAAAACTTTTAAAATAAAAATAGCTTGCTTAGCCATTGTTTGCTAAAGAATATAAATGTACAACAAATAAAACCCAATGTTTTTGGAAAGGTAATGCTATTTGTCATAATATGTAACTCTCTGACCTATTACTACAGATACTACGTATTCAAACTGGAGCAATTGTAAGAATGAAGGGGAGAGCTCTTAATAAATACACTGGGATACGCAGTGTAAGTTGAAACTGTTCTCTGCATAGTGGGACATATAGTCACTTCATTTCATATAATGCCTATTTTTTACTTAAATAAAGAGATAGTGTTGTATTGGCAGACATTTTGAACTCGGACCCACACAATTATTTGTGGGTCCAGAGACTTTTATCTTTAACATGTGGCTTCTACAAGTACACTGGGTGTTGCCTTTGTGGAGGATTTATGGATCATGCCTGGAAATGAGGCAGTCATACTCACCCACATTCCACTGGCAAGAACTCAGTCATTTGGCCACATCTAAATACAATGGTGGCTTCAAATTGTAGTCCATTTAAATACTCGGGAAGAAAGGAAAAATTGTTGAGCAACAGCCAGCCAGTATTTTTCCACAGCTTAGAAATAGAACATTTTAAATAATCTTTGTTTGTTCATAAAAATATGTAAAAAGTTGGATCCAGAAGAAATACAACTGTAGGTTGATATTATATTTTATCTCTTGAACATTGTTAATCTGATATTTCTAAACTAGCCCTGAAAGAGATTCAATTAAAATATATAAGATAATCTCCTATTAAATTACATTATTCAAAAATTCTGTCCCATATAATTTTTATGAGAACCTATGTGCCTAATCCCATTTTATTTCAGCAACTCTATGTAATATAAAGAGCATGGGCTTCTGAGTCAGAGAGACCCGAGTCACAATCCTGATTACTGTTTATTAGATGAAGGATCTTGAAGAAGCTACTTAACCTTTCTGAGCCTCAGTTTCCTGACCTGTAAAATGGAGGCAAATGCCTATCTCAGAAAGTTGTTTTGAGAATTAATTAAGTTGAATACTTAACAAGCCAAGTTTAATGCTTCCCCAATAGGAGATGGTCAATAAGGCCAATCCCTTTCTCTTAGAGTACTTAAATTCTGTGGGATTAAATCATTGCTACTCCAAACAAGTGTCTCCTCTCTCTGATTAATAAAGCATGTCAACTGGAAAGACATCATTTTAATCTCAAAGTGCAGACACTTTGTAGTTGCTAAAGTGTTTGCAAAAGTTACTCTTCTTCTAATACAATTTAAAAACAATTTGGTGCAACAAACTGTATTCTCCTCACCTCCCTAATCTTGTATGATGACCTCACACATTGAATTCATCGTTCAAAAGATTTCTGAGATGTTATGAGTGCAGAAAGGCACAAACTCATTTTCATGGCATAATAAATTTAATTTTTAATCAAAGGAATGGAGAGATTTGATTTTTTTTTCAGAGATAATGGTGCCCTAAAAGATAGTTGAGAATAGGGAAGAATGATGTGGAAATAGAAGGAGAGCTCTTAGGACCTGACAGTGTACCGCCAGGAGTTCATGCTCTAACAATCAGTGTGTGTCACAAACCAGGTGATTCTTCAGGAGGGGAAAGGTTGGATGTGATCCTAGCAATCTTCGCGTCTAAGTCGGCTCTTCAGCAGTATCTTTGTTTGGGGCTTTGGTAACACATACAATTGACTTGAATGTTAAGGCTGCTTTTTACCAATGTCTCAAAAGAATTTGAAAGCCAAACAGAATTATCGCTAGCTATTAAAATCAGAGCAGGCTGTAACAGAGTTTAATTTTTTTTTCTGAAAGGTAAGAACATGTTGGTTTTCTGAGACCTTGAGTGGAATGACCTGAGTGCATATCTAAGTGATTTTCAAAAATGCAGTTATCACCAAGTCTTGCCTATAAAAATCCACTTTATTTAAAAAAAGAGAGAGACAGAGTACTCTGTCATCCAGGCTGGAGTACAGTGACACAATCCTAGCTCACTGTCACCTCGACCTCCTGGGTTCAAGCAGTCCTCCCACCTCAGCCTCCCAGTAGCTAGGACTATGGGTGCATTCTACCATCCCCCTCTAATTTTTAAAATTTTAAATAGAGATTGTGGTTTTGTTGTGTCACCCAGGCTGGTCTCGAGCTGCTGACCTCAAAGTGATCCTCCTACTTCAGCCTTTTAAGGAGCTGGGATTACAGGTGTAAGCTACTGTGCCAGGCCAAGAGCCCACTCTTTTAAATCTACAAGTGGTAGTAAATACTATTGCTGCTTATAGGATTTATAATAATATTAAAGGACTAATTTCATTCAAGGTTACGTTTGGTTGCTTAATAACTTTTGGGAAGGGAAGAAGCCACTTGGAGCTAATAAAATATAGGCACACCTTGAAGAATCCTATCTCCATTTTTCACTTTTAACCACCTTCCTTATCATTCCATATATTCCCTGTTTGGCCATGACCCTCATTGCGTCCCTTTTCTTGATGGCTTTAATTCCCATGAGTTTCTAACTGCCACATACTCCATCTTCACTGCACCTCATTTATTCAGGGTGCCAGATGAAGACTATATTTTATGATAAATGAATCTTGGCCAAGTGTTAATGAGCAAGGACTAGAAAGCTGATTTTTGGTAATATATGCATTTTAGCTGAGACATTTAGATAAATTTACTCCACACTTTGTTTTCTAAAACATAAATGGCTGACATTTTAGGCTTGCATAGAGCTGATTCTAATGACACTTAAATATAGGGTGGACCATAGTTATCAGCAACCCTGTGTTCCTTTGTGGTAAGAAAAAAGGTTGGACCAAATTGATTAGCCTGGTGGCTCTTTATTAATATTTTGAAGGACTGTCTGTAAAATAAATTGTGGTGCCGTGCCATGTGCCTCCAGGGACCTCTAACACATTTTTAGTGCTTGTTAAATTCAAAGTGATGCTGAAATTATAGGAAAGTAATAACAAATTGACCAAAGTTTAATAGCAAACTTTCATTTTCTGCATCAAGCATTTGCTGAATACAGATCTAGAAATTTAAATCTGGCCTTCTCTGGAGATGAACAGGTCTCATGAACAGACCAAGAAATTCGCCTGTGGGCTTTCAAAGGGTTCACTTGAAGGTCTCCTTTCACTAGGACAGATGACTAAGAAGGAAGGATGGGCTGCAGAAATGTTGTCTTTTCTAATTTCACACTTTTCTTTCCTCAGTCTAAGCTTATAAAGATCGACTTTTCCCTTCTTTTTTGCATAATTTTTCATATCTTAACACAGGACATCTCTCAGATTTCTGCTCAGATCAAGGGCAGAGCTAGGCAGATCAAGGTAGAATAAGTTTTAGCTAAATATTTATGCTAGGTTTGAAAATTTACAGCTTGCATGGAACACTTGCAGAGGTCAGAGAAAAAATTATTTTTTTCTTAGCTAAATTACTTTAATGTAGTCTAACAAACACAAAGTCAAATGCAGTGCAACCTATTCTATGGTTCATAGCTTTCCAAAATAAAATTGAAATTTATCCCAGAAGACTAGAAGGCATTCCAATGTTTTGAAAATGAGTGATAAAAATCATTGTTTATTCTTATCAAGCAAAATATTCTTTGTGGAAGAACAATGAGAAACCAGGAGATTCCACAGCCAGATGAGTGGCCTTGTCTAGGCAAAACACATCCGATTAAATTTTGTACTTTGGTGTCAGGTAGACACAGCAAATATTCATGACTCATTCTATAATGGGTTCCTTGTCTTTTTAGGATTCATATGTTCAGCCTTCTTATGAAAATTTAAAAACAAAGTTTGTTTTTTAAATAGTTATGGTCTCTTAAATTTTCATAAGAAAATTTATGATATGATATTATATGATATGTTCAACTGGTAGAATCATAAAAGCTTTAAAGTTTATGTTTTCAAATATCTCCACAGGTTTATGCCATTAGTATGTCAGACTCTCAAGTATATTATTATATGAGACTCATAATTATCAAAGCCTCAATGGTATTCAAATGTGATATTTACAAAATTAGATCCCCATAATTATATTGATATAATCTATACAGATGAGAAATGCTCAGTTAACTGTTTAGGAGTGGTTTACTCTAGGTTCCCCAGGTAGTCGAAAATCTAGAAGGGTTTTGACACTGTTGATTTGAATGTTAATAGTATTGTCATCCCACTAAAATCAACACTAGTTGTTTTGTTGATTCTGGTACTCACCTGTGTGTGTGTGTGTGTGTCTGTGTGTGTATTTTAAGCATTGGCCAAAGGTAGCAGGTGGCACAGATGGCTATCCAGATCTTTTGCTTTGCCAAAGTAGATTAGAGTTTTTAAAAACAACTGATTTCAGATATTCTATAATTTCTACTGTCTGGGGGAGACACGGAAGGCTTTTTATCATCTCTTGAGATGAGTCGATTATAAAAGAGTTTTCCTGGTGTTCCTTTTTAACCAAAATCTTCTCGTTCTCTTTCCTTGCAGGGCCCTAGGCCTTTGTTTTATGTGATAAATCACTCTCTTTCTTCCCAAAGCAAAATGAAAGGAACAATTATATCCTTGATGATTCTTAATTGTCACAATTAACAGTCAGTTTCTGGAGTCTGAGCTGAAAATGAAGCTTAGAATGCACCTTCAATACACGAAATTTGGTAAGTCCATTTGAATCCTTTTTTTTTTAATCAAGAAAATTTGACTATTTGAATATTGAACTGTAGTCACTATACTGGTACTCTCAATTTAGCTTAGAATAAAAATATGTTCTCTCATTATGTTCTTAGTTAAATTAAAGGGAAGAAAAACAAAACAAACAAAAAACAATATTATCACTTAAATAGATTTTATTTTATTTGTTTTTAACAGCCCAGAGGTCTTTATTTTTCTTACAGCGATTCTGCCATGAATTCGTAGGGAATAGGCTCCAGCAGCTCAGGCTACTTTCCACTTAGTCTCACAAACTCTGCTTCTCCAAGCAGGCTGGGGCTTCTATTGAACCCAGTGACTTTCTCTTTGACTTCCCTTTTTTTTTTTTTTTTTTTTGAAACCGGACTCTTGCTCTGTCATCCAGGCTGGAATGCAGTGGCACGATCTAGGCTCACTGCAACCTCCAGCTCCCGGGTTTAAGTAATTCTCCTGGCTCAGTCTCCCGAGTAGCTGCAATTACAGGCATGCGCCACCATGCTCAGCTAAGTTTTGTATTTTTAATAGAGATGGGGTTTCACCATGTTGGCCAGAATGGTCTCAAACTTCTGAGCTCAAGTGATCCCTCCTCTCTGGCCTCTCAAAGTGCTGGGATTACAGGTGTAAGCCACCATGCCTGGCCTGGCTTCCTTCGTGTTCTGATTATTTTCTTTCACGTGTTTCAGGATGCTATCTTGGCTCTTCAAGTGCTTAAAATGCTGAACGTGTATATTAATTCTCCTGGCAAGAACCTTGCCTATACCTTGTGTGTTGACAGCAGTGCCAACAGCATGCTGGGGAACACTGTAGACTCTTCCGGTTCTGCCATGGCAACACTTGCACGGCACTCCCTTTTGAACAGTACCCATTCCCTTGATGTCTACAGTATCACCTTTCCCGTTGATTCCCATGTATGTGCTCAAAAGAGCAACTCCATGTTTTCCAAAAGGCCTGAAGAACATACAGCAGGCACCTCGTCTTTTTCTCTTTGTGTTTGTCATTTTGGGGAATTACTGAACAATGGAGGTTCAGGCCAAAAGGCTTAACCAGATATTATTTTAAGCAGTAAGTTTTTACTTTTTCCAAATATGATCCCCTTACATCCGATAAGCATGTTCTCCCTGTATTAATGTTAGTTTGTCAGTATCAGTATATCAAATAACTTTACTAAATACTGGTATAAAAAAGCACTGTGCTAGCCCAGTAGGCAAATTAAAACCTAGGTTATATAACCTGGATGTGCCCTTTGCTTATGTGTGGAAGAATTGGAAAGATTCATTCATGAGTGGCTGTGATATATAAAGGAATTTAAGTTGAAAGACGTTTTGGAAAAATTCAAATATTATTACTAAGGGAAAGTAAAAATAAATATGTTTCACATCATTGGATATGAATAAAGCAAATGAAATATCTCTTAATCCAAATTAAAAAAAAAGAAAGAAAATGCAAATAGTTTATACTCTTTATATTCTATTAAAAGGCAATACTCTCAGAAAGATTTAAAATCTGACTGTATATTGTTTTACAAGAGACATAGCTATTACCAAATGATAAGAAAAGTTTAACATAAAAGGGCAAGCAAGTATTTTTTTTTAACATAAAGGCAAGTAGAAAAGGCAAACATACAATCTTTGTTTCAGACAACATTAAATAAGACCAAAGCTGCTTTTTTATATTTTAAATGGAACAATTATCATCACATTTCTAATAGTCATGATAATTTGTGAAAAATAATATGCCATTAAAATACTTGCAACAAAAAATTTAGAAATACAAGGAAAACAGAAATTGAGTTGTTTTGGGTAAATTAAGAAAACTTTCCAGGCTTATTTAGAAAGATGCATATGTACTATTTCCTTAGGCATTTTTAATGGAACATGACCTATCCAGTTCTTGGCTGGGCCTAGAATGAGCAGGCTCAGACATTTTTCTTAGCTTAGGTTACATCCTGCCCTAATAACTATGTTTATTAACAGCTGTTGTAGAGATACCAACATCTGTAGAATGGAATTCATTATTTTGCCCTCTGAAACCAGTTCTGTCTTGGATGCTAAAACCCACTAAATTGTAACACAGTTAACTCAAGCTGCTAAGCTGTAAACCTGTCATCCTTGGCTCTCCTCATCTCTAAAATTGTATCTATTGAATCTGTCTCCTCCTTTCTCCCTCGCTATCACTGTCTTATTTTAGGCTTTCTTTGATCTAGCCAATGTTGTCCTTAACACTGGACTTATACAAACCTGATTATACCATTTTCTTTAGAAACCTCTGTTAGTTTCTTTTGCCCAGATTATAAGATCAAAATCACACTCTTTACCTAGTTAAAATACCCTTAACAATCTGCCCTTCTCCCCACATCTTTCCAGATTTATCTTTCTCCATTCTTCCTCTAATCTTCTATTCACTTAAAATATGTTATTGCTATGCTAATTTTTAAATAAATAACCGAAACACCAGACCCATTTATAACTGTTCTTTGACCTACATTCTCTCTTAGAATAACTTTCTCTGACTCCTTTTTTTACTCATTTTTTAAATCTTTCAGTTGCATATAATCAGCATATATGTATGTGTATACATATATATGATATATAGTCATGTATCACTTAATGATGGGGTTATATTCTGAGAAACATGTCATTAGACAATTTTGTCATTGTGCAAACATCTTAGTTTACTTACAAACCTAGAGGGTATAGCCTGCTACACAACTAGGCTATGTGGTATGGTCTATTGCTCCTAGGCTGCAAACTTGTATAGCATGTTACTGTAGTAAATTCTGTAGGCGACTGTAGCACAACAGTAGCTGTGTATTTATTTACTTTTTTGTTTATAAGGTTTTGTTAAAACTAGCTTTAACATTAATAGTACACCATACATAGGTAAAATAGGGTTTTCTCTTCTGAACAAAATGTGTAATATTAAAAGATAAAATACTTTGTTTACTTTTTCAGTAAACTGCAGGAAGAAAATGGAACAGGAGAGACAGATTTATTTGGCTTCATGCTGTCTTTATTAGGTCTTACTATTTGGGAAACTGAATCTTCTCTTTATTGAATGGAAAATGTTTCTGTTTTATCACTGTAGTTAAATGAATAACATTCTATAGTGACTCATGATCCTGTTTTGTGATATCAAGTGTCTTAAAACTTTGCTATTTGAAGGCAGCGGAAGAGGCCCAGGCGGCTGGGTGAGGCGCTGAGACGGTTTAGCGGTGAGTCCTGGGCCAGGCGCAGCTAAAAGCCCCGCAACCCGGGAGGGCGACGCCAAAACAAACCAGAGGACTTGGGATATTCCGGAGCAGGTGCCGCTGCCGCCGCTTCTGCCGCCGCCGGAGGACTCGGCCCTGAACGGCCTGCAGGCCTGGGCGCGGCCCGCGGAGCCAGACGCGTTGCTGCCGTGAGTAAAACGAGCGCCCGCAGCCGCTTACGAATTAAAATGGAGGAAATTTCCTTGGCCAAGCTGGATACTAACAAGCTAGAGGCCATCGCCCAGGAGATTTAGGTAGACCTGATAGAGGATTCTTGTTTGGGATTCTGCTTTGAGGTGCACCGGGCAGTCAAGTGTGGCTGCTTCTACCTGGAGTTGGCAGAGACTGGTAGCGAAAGCATTTTGGCATTCGGCCAGTGGAAGACGAAGGAGCCTGCGGTCTCCAGCTTTGCTCCCTTCCGGGAGACCTGGGAATGGGCCCGATCAGCAGCTGCAGCGCTCACCTGCGGAATTCCAGTAGCTGCAAAATGAGATTCTGAGAGTGGCCAGGACGATAACATAGACTGGTCCTGTGGCGTGGAGGAGTGAGCTAAGTAGAAAAAAGTAGGAAAAAAAAAATCACACAAAAGTTCTAATTCCCCTTGAAGATCTTAGCATTTAAAAACCCAAAGTGGATAATTTAGGAATCCTTTTTTAAAGTATATCACCTGGAGCCAGCTCTGAAGCCCCGGGCAGGAGGAGCCGCACAGCCTGCGGGCCATGCAGTGCCTGTTGATCTCTACACATACCAGGATGTGCTCAAGATTCTGTAGTGCCCCCAATGCACAGGTGAGCAGTGTGTGCCCAGCATATAAAATTTTTGGTTCCTCAGCTTTTCTGTCTGCCTGATGTCAAGGACTTCCTGGACAGTTTGGACATTATGGTTCATCCGTAATCAGTGGCCTGCAATGGGACTGCTCATTTGATGTCTGAACCTCTGATATGGGCTTCTCTGAGACAAGTAAATGTCAGGTGCAAAATCTGGATACTAACAATTTCAATTTGGGAAATCCAAGAAAAAGAATTCTCAAGTTTGATAGGGAAGCACTGTAGCCCTGACTCCAGCAAGAAGAAATGGTCGAAACCACCTGTTTCCCAAAGGTCCAGCCTTTGTAATGATTTCAGCTGACTTGAGGAGAAGGCCTAGCGCTTGACTGAGCAGTGCCCTCTTCCTTGCCCTCCAAACTGGTGGCATAAACTTGGCACATGGACAACTTGGTTGTCCAGTCAGGCTGAGGATTCGGCTATGATCCCCTGGGGAGGTAGAGGGGACCTCTGCAACTATGCACGATCTCTCAAACTGCAAGATTCATGTCTGGATGTATTATGCTGTGGGCATAAGTTTAGGAGGGTGGTCATTTCCTACTCTGGGTTACTGGTTACCTAGCCAGTCCATGGGTTTGACTTGGTCATTAAGCCAGGTCACTAGCTGCCTCCCACCCTGGGGGCGGGACTAAACTATAGAAGAGCATCATGGCTGTCCTGGAAGGAGGGTGTGATTTGAAAACAGCCCAGAGGGGATCTCTTTCAGCTGCCCTCAGTAATGTGAATGGGTTAGTGCTAGCTGAGGAGCCAAGGAGCAGGACTAGATTATCTCATCTGACTGCAGAATATTGTTGAATGTTCCTGGTTCTTTGGTGGGGAAGTCAGAGCTCTGCTATGGTGAACATCCAGACTGTCACCACCTTCTCTCTGTCCCTGTAAAGGGGCAATCCATTCCACTCGGTACCTTTCGGATCTTGACAACAAGAGCAGTCCTTTTATTGTTAGAAGTCAGAGAAAGACCTCTGGAATCTCCTGACTTCAGGGAATGGTATCGGGATAGGGGAAGATGGGAAGTAAGAGCCACATATCAAAACTACCCTCCACTTTATTCCCTGGGTGAGGGTTTGTGAAGTATAAAGGACTGGGAGCCCCGAGGTGAGTGGGAACAGTGCTGCTTTATTTGAAATGTTTTCAGGTGCTGCTTGCCACTCCAGCTTTCACAATGACCAGTTTCAGTTCAGCTCTTAATGCTCCTGCTTAAGCCTGGCCAATTTCTTTTTTCTTGGTCTCTGTTTCTTTCTTTCTTTTTTCCCCTGTCTTTATGGAAGACTCAGAGGAGAATCTTTCTTATGGCTCCCTCTGTTGGGATTGGAATTGGAAGAGAACTTAATTTTTTGTATTTAAAATGCAATGTCATGCCTAAGCATGTTCTCCTATATAGGACTGCCTTGCTACTGTGCCCTCTTGCTGTGTCTTACTTCGTAAGGAGTTGTATCTTCCCACCTCCATTTCAATACTGCCTGTTAGGACCTAAGTAGAAGAGCAGTAAAAAGGCTGATTGACACACAGGGGAATGGAGTTGGTCCTTATCCATTCTCTAACCCTTGCTGTGCATGTATCCTTATCCCAGAAGGTACTATTTGGACTGTATAGACTGATTTAGATTACATACTTTAGAGGGTTAAGGAAACCATAGAGATCGGGCCTTGGAACTGTCTGTCATTGCCTTCTTCTCCTAGACTTGTGCTGATCAGCCTTGGGGCCTAGTTACAGATTAGTCTTCAATAATTGCAATAACTTTAAAAAAAAGTCAAGCCTTGTCAAGAGCTAAAATAATTTGGATATATCTTTGCCCTTGTAGACATCTAAGAGGATGAAGAAAGGAGAGTTTAAGTGAGACTGTGGCCTACTTCCTAACAGTGTCTTGGAAGTGGGATGATGGAGAAAGGCCACGGTCCAATCCCTCTACCTTCAGATAGGGGACTCAGATCTTGAAATTACTGTTTTCTTTCTGGCCTTTTCTCCTGGTTAGAGGAGGAAATGGGAAGTAGTTTGGAGTAATGGTTTATTCATATTACCCCCTTTTTGTTTCTTGTTTTGTTTTTTTGTTTCTAGCCCCTCTACCTATAGGGCAATGGCTCCCTGCCCTGCATGGGTATAAGGTAGGCTTGGTTCAACAGGTGCCCAGAGAGTACAGACTCCTTTCTGGGGAGAGAATGCTCCCTACCATATAGTTGACAGTGGTTAGGAACTCTCCTTTTCCCTACCTGCCTTCCTTTTTAACAGCAGAATTCCCATTTTCCCCTTCTTGATTAAGTGTATTGATCACCCTGCAATCAATATTATGTATCTGAGTGTGTGTGTGTGTTATGGGGGAAAGGGGTTCTTTAAAATTTCTGTGGTTTGTGGCTTTTTCTTCCATACGTTAGTTTCCACCATCGCATGCCCAGGGACCACTGCCTGGCATTATCGCATGCTGGGATCATTGGGGGAGGGTAGTGAAGCTCACCACTGTCCTTTGTTTTGGAGATTCTTATTTTTGCATAAGTAGTCCATCCTATACAGATAGCTGACTAACTGCATTTCCCTTTGCTCTATGGCTGCTGTTGTAAATAAGCTGCATCTCCCCATTGGTAAACAGTAATAAACAAAATTTTTAAAAATGGCAAAAAAAAAAAAAAACTTTGGTATTTGACTGACTTTCCAATGGCAAAATTTAAGTTCTAACTTAAATCTTTTTGACCTTAAAGAAACTGTCTTGGATATTAGGTTCCCTGAATTCCAAGGGAGATATATTAGGCTTATTAGTATACAGTAAGCCTTGTCAGATGTAAGGCGGTATGTAACTTTCTTTGAGTTACATATGGATATGTTGTTTATACATGCTCCAGTATTGTATGACATTCCTGAAAATCTGATATTTTAATATATGTTCTCAGTAATACTTAACAATTATCATGTTAAATTGTTGTATGCCACATAAATAACCAAATTTCCTTGTCAATGATGTCTTTGACTATGGCTGTCCTAAAAGTTTTGTCATTCACAAATGTTGTTTTTATTACCACTTCAATCTCACTGCTTGTTATTGGTTTATTCAGAGTTTCTATTTCTTCCTGGTTTAATTTAGGAGGGTTGTATATTTCCAGGAATTTATACATCTCCTCTAGGCTTTCTAGTTTATGTGCATAAAGGTGTTCATAGTAGTCTTGAATAATCTTTTGTATTTCTGTGGTATCAGTTGTAGTATCTCCTGTGTTAGTCTGTTTTCATGTTGCTGATAAAGACATACCTGAGACTGAGTAATTTACAAAGGAAAGAGGTTTATTGGACTTACAGTTCCACATGGCTGGGAGGCCTCACAATTATGGCAGAAGGCAAGGAGGAGCACATCACATCTTATGTGGATGGCAGCAGGCAAAAACAGAGCTTCTGTAGGGCAACTTTCTTTTTAAAATAATCAGATCTCGTGAGACCATTCACTATCACAAGAATAGCATGGGAAGGATAAGACCCCTTAATTCACTCATTTCCACCAGGTCCCTCAACATGTGAGGATTATGGGAGTTACAGGATGAAATTTGGGTGGGGACACAGAGCCAAACATATCATTCTGCCCCTGGACACTTCCAAATCTCATGTCTTCACATTTCAAAGCCAATCATGCTTTCCCAACAGTCCACCAAAGTCTCAATTCATTTCAGCATTAACTCAAAATTCCACAGTCCAAAGTTTTCCAAAGAAGCTGCACCATTTTACATTCTTACTATCAATAGCAATATTAGGGGGTCCCAATTTCTTTGTATTCTCATAACTTATTATCTCCCTTTTTAATTATAGTCATTCTAGTATTCCTTTCTTCCTCACATGACATATAGAATCTTATAAATAATGCTTCGTGCTTTGCTTTTTTCCACTTAACAGTATATTCTGGAAATAACAAGGCATCTTAGAGGAATTTTCCTCATTATTTTTATAGCTGCATAGTATTCTGTCATGTAAATGTATCATAATTTATTCAATCCCTCTCCAACACATGGATATTTGGTTTATTATCACTATTTTGAAAATATGAACAATGCAGCAACAAATAACCCTGTGCATATTAGTTAAGCCTATGAATAATATTCATATTACTGGAAAACTATCTTCAGGATATATATATGGTTTTTGCTAAATATTGTAATATTTTTATCTAGAAGGCATAGACCAATTTTCATTCCCATAAGCAGTGTATGAGAATATTTGTTTGCTATAGCCTTGTCAACAGAATTTGCTGTCTTGCTTTTAGATGTTTGCCAATCTGATAGGTGAGAAGTGGTATCTTAGTGTTGTTCAATTTCTCTAATTTTATTAAGATTCAATGCTTCTTATGGTTTTTGTCAATTTTGAATATTTTTAGTGAATTTTCTGTTCTCTTAATTATCTTTTAAAGAGGTTAGTAAATAATGAAATAGTCTTTTATATTTATTCACATTTATTATTCCTAGCATTCTGTTTTCTATGGATTCTAATTTCCATCTTGTATCATTTTATTTCAGCTTGAAGAACTTCCTTTAACATTTCTCTTAGCATAGATGTGTTAGGGATATATTTTCTCAGCTTTTGTTTTTCTAAAAATGTGTTTACTTTGCCTTCATTTTTTGACAGGTATTTTACTAGATAAGAGAATCTAGCCTGCTGGGTATTTTCTTCCAGTACTTCATGTTGTTCCACTGTCTTTTGGCTTATGCCTTTTCTGATTAGAAGTTTTCAGTCATCTTATTTGTTTTCCTGCCAATGCCAACCTTTGGTGTGTACCCCCGAGCCCTCAGTAAGGACCTCTGGCTACAAGTTTTCAGGTGAGTACAGTCCTGTATTGTCTCTGTACCTCCTTCAAGTTTTTAATGTCACAGTTACCCACACTTTGCAATTAAATGCTAATAAACAATTTAGCTGGTACCTCATCATCCTGCTATCTTTCTAGAGATAAGAGCAGCCTCGGATCTTTTCTCCCATATGAAAAGTTCATTACTTTCTAGAATTTTGTTCATTCAGGTTTCTTTGTGTGCTCAACTTTGCAATAAGTTAGAAGTAAAAGAGTGACCAGGTGTGGTGGCTCATGCCTGTAATCCCAGCATTTTGGTAGGCTTGGGGGTGGGGGGTATGGATCATGAGGTCAGGAGTTTGAGACCAGCCTGGTCAATATGGTGAAACCTTGTTTCTGCTACAAATATAAAAATGAACTGGGCATAGTGGCACATGCCTGTAGTCCCAGCTACTCGGGAGGCTAAGGCAGAAGAATTACTTGAACCCAGGAGGTGAAGGTTGCAGTAAGCCAAGATCATGCCACTGCACTCCAGTCTGGGTGACAGAGCGAGACTGTAACCAAAAAAAAAAAAAAGTAAAAGACTGTGTTTTTGTAGCTGCACCAGATTGGTTCCGTTGTTAGGAGGATAATAGTAGGTCTCCTATAATATGGATCTAATGGAATGTAAGTCCATGGCTTCAATCAGAATGTTTGTAGTAACTGCATTTAGATCACTGGTACACACAGCCAATGTCTGCTTATTCCACAGCATTCATTCATTGAACTCCCCTCTTAAGACATGATCACCCTTTGTTTTACTGTAGGAAATGTGAGTTTTCGCAAGGAGAGGGAAAGTTGAA